AAGAGAAAAGGGAAAGGTTTGTGTCGAAGGGGAACGTGGTCAGCAGACTCCAGCAGCAGCGAGCTCCGCCAGTCACGCGGGCATGCTGGCCGGGTCTGCACACAGAGCGACACTCCTGAGGGCGGCGCCGCCTTCTGGGCCTCGGGGGAGCAGTTCGGGCTCCAGACTCGTCTCGCTTGTGGGACGCCGTGCCCCAAACTCGGCATCTGCACGCTGGGTTCGGTCCCGGGTGGCCAGGCCATCGTGGGGGTTTTCCGTTTCTTGGAGTGGGCTGTTCGGCCCCAGCAGCTACAGGACTGATCCTAACTTCGGAAAAAACACTTTAAAGAGCTGTCTGGACGTTGCCTCCTTTCCCCGCTCCGTCACCCCGGGGACTGGGAGATGGAGAGACGGCTGCCCAGGTAATGACGGGGTACCCCACCCACAGCGCTGCCGCCCGGCCGCGGTCTCGGAGGAGAACAAGGGCAAATGTGTTTAGACGTGACTTCGCCAGTCCCTGACCTCAGCGACAAACCCCCGGTGTCAAGAGCAGCCCCACCTTGGGAGCGGGAACAAAAGAGTTCTGTTCTCCGGGTTGGGAGGGAGTCAAACTGCGCAAACGTTTGCGGGGCCCCTACAGAGGCTCCTTTGATGAGGAGCCTCTCCACCCAGGACACAGCCGGCCTGAGAGGGACCAGGCTCCCCTGGGAGCCAAGGGCATGTGATCGGTTCAGAGGGAGCAAAGCCCTGCAGCGCTTCAGACATAACCATCAGTTACCTTCAAAAGCAAAGCGCAGAAAGTGGCTGTGGATGCTGTTGCGTTCACCCTCTCAGCTTACAAAAGAGGAAACCCAGCCCCCAACATTCAGTGACAAGCTCGGAGGCATGAGAGATTTCGTGCTGCTGGTCTCGTGACCCTTTCCCTGCCCCTGTCCCACTGCTCATGGCCGGCGGAGACCATTTAGCTTGGGGCTTTGGAGGGTTAAACAGAATGAGCAGTATCTTGAAGCGGCCCCCGAGCATGGACGAGCTCCGAGGGTCCGCACGCGTGTGCACTGCCTCTGTGGGCCTCCCAGGAGCCGTGTGGTTTTATATGTGTTTGATGGAAAATTGCTACTTAACTCATCTTGGGTCTCGAGAGCGTTTCCATTTTCTCCTGGAGTAGCCGTCCTGCGAGCGGTTCAGAGCGTGGCCACGTTGAAGTGAGGCGATTTTACACAGTGGTTCCGGAGCTTGACAGCAGCCTGGTTAGATGCAACTTACTGCACCCAGTTTGGAGACTGGCTGCCTGGCGGGGGGAAGGGAACAGCCACCTGTCACCTGTGTCGGGGACAATTTTGGTTGGAAGATACAGACCTGTGAAGGATAAGGAAGGATTCATCCGCACGGCCTCGTGCCGCCCTGCGTGGGGACACTGGGATCGCTGCCCCTGGGCGCCACGCCAAGAGGCTGAGCGCTAAAATGTGGAGGCCTGCGGGGCCAAGCAGTGGGTCCGGCTGGTTCAATTTCTTTTGGAGAAGGCCTTCTACGGCCAGCCTCGAACCCCCCAGAGACAGCCCCCCTCCAACGTGGTGTTACATTTTCCCAGCCAATCTGGGGGGAGAAGAGGTTCCACTTCCTAAGATTCTCCCGCCATCAGTCGGCTTCAGTGTCCGAGCAATTGCTAAATCATGTTTTGGGCTCGGGACTTCATAAACAGGATGAAAAGAACAAAATTTAACAATAAACATACTTTCAGTCTCCTGATGTGATAATTGGAACAGATATAAAGGTAATCATTTGTTTTCAGTCTGATTGTACATGTAATAATGCTCGTTGTGGAAAATACAGTAAATACAGAGACGTGTAAAAAAGTGTCCGTGGTCCCAGCACGCAAACACACCCTTGCTAATCCGTGGGGGCAGGACCCGGTGTTTCCCGCCTGCTGCTGTCCTTGGTGCTTGGCGCCCTGCCTAGTACAGAGTAAGGGACTCTCAAACATTTGTCGAGTGAGTGTTACCATTTTGGTGTATTTATTTTCAGCCTTTTTTCTATGTATGTTCTACATGATTGTAGTTAGACTCTATTCATAACGTAATATCCTTTTTTACTTACCGTGTTCACACAGGTATGCCTCTGCCACAAACACAAACATATAAACATGTCTAAAGGTGCTTAGTATTCCATGTCTTGTGTGTGCTTCATTAAGTTACTTGCTTTTCGCTTACTAGATACTTAGGGAAAGACAGACATTTCAAGGCGCGTTGCAGATAAGGCTTGTCCGTGGACAGGTAGACCTACTGGATGTTTTTCTGGCTCCTCTTTGTTCAGTGGACCCAAAAAAGTTACTGAAACCACATTCTATTATTTACTTGCGCGGTCTCATGGGCGTGCGTGAAGCAGTGGAAACAGCGCCCGAGGGAAGTCTTGAAATTAGAATCAGGATATGACCTCTAGGCTTTTGTAATTAAGAACTAGCTTTTGAATATTGCATTGTGTGAAGCAGTGAATTCAAAGAATTAGTTATTATGCTAAGTTCTGGAAACACAGAGGTTCAAGAATTCAGCTGAGCTAAATCACCTTCTGCATACTCGCCGCTTCCCCTCTGGTCAGAGACCGTTTTGCTCGGGTCGGTGTGGCGCCATCTGCTGCTGACCGTGAGAATGAGCACCCAGGAGTCTTTCTGGATTTCAGCGTTCTCTGATTTTAACACTGACTTCTGCAAGAAATAAAAGGGATGTGGTATGTGGTTTTTTGCAGGATCCCCTTGTTTCAGAACTGGATACGGTTTTTTGTAAAAAGACCACGAGTGGACTTCTGGCTCCAGATGGCTACAGAGTACCCTTGATTAACTCCTCCACTTGTTAGAAATGTCCGTCAAAATCCAAAAGGAACATACAAATAGGCAGAAATGCAGGTCAGAGCAGGAACCCAGGGAAGGGGCCAACACTTTCTGGAACCCATGAGAACTTTCTGCATGACATAGCGCAGGTGAGATCGGACCGAGGGAGGGGCTTGTTAGCCTGCCATTCACCATGGGGGAGAAACGCCAGGGGGATGAGGGGCAGATGCCAGCAGAGCCCCCCAGTACCCCTCAGCTCACAGTGGCAGCAGCTGGAGGTGAGGGCGGGTCACTGGGCACTAGTGAGCGGCAGAGGCAGATCCTCCCTCCACTGGCAAAGGCACCGGGTGCTGGGGGCTGCAGACACTTGGCACGGGACATTAACCAGGCTTTGCTGAGCCTGGCTTCTCACAAAGGCAGTCATGTCCGTTACAAGAGTGTCAGGTGCCCCCAGAAAGTCTACCCTGGAACACTATGTCCCAGAAAGCATCTAAGCCACCTAGACCTGCGGTCCCCAACCCCAGTCCATGGCCTGTTAGGAACTGGGCCACGCATCACTGCCTGAGCTCCGCCTCCCCCACCCTGTCCGTGGAAAAATTGTCTTCCATGAAACCGGTCCCTGGTGCCAAAAAGGTTGGGGACCGCTGCTCTAGAGTTTCCAGGCGGAGTAACCGATATCCAAAGATGCCGTTCTTAGCCAATCACTCCAATGCAACAACCACAGAAAGACATTCTCAGACATGCAAATGTTCAGAGAGCTTTCCAGAAAGAACACACACAGACACACACACACACCCTAAACTCTTCATGATTGTAGTAGTAATACAATCAATATAACTCAAGAATTCAGTCGAGATCATTGTGGTTAATAAAGTTATGAAATAGAGTAACAATTGAAAACAACCCCAGAAAGAAAAGTAAAAATCAGTATCCTCTTCCTCTTAACCTCCATTCCTGCACCCTGTATCCCTAAAATCCCAGGTGAGGAATGGAAGGAAAGTAAAAGTCTCAAATTCTGAGCTTACATGAAGAGAAGTCATGTTTTCTGTTTCATAATTGACTCAGATATGGAAATGAGCTCAATTATGTTTAATTTACTGCTTATAGACTCAATATTATAAAATATGTTTCCAAATCATTAGCATAAAAAAGGAGCAAAGAAAATTGATCATTATGGCAAGGTGGGAAGATAGAAAAATAAGAGAACCATCAGCAAATTTAATGTAAGGATATGGATTTTAAAAGCCCTAAATTAAATCTTTGCATCTAGAAGTCAGCAATATAGGCTGGACATGTTTATATCAATAGCTCACGCCTGTAATCCTAGCACTTCGGGAGGCCAGCGGGGGAGCATCCCCTGAGGCCAGGAGTCGAGACCAGCCTGAGCAACAGAGACTCCTGTCTCTACAAAAAATGAAAAAGTAGAAAAGTTAGCCAGGTGCAGCGTTGTGTGTGTGTAGTCCCAGCTACTTAGCAGGCTGAGGCAGGAGGTGGCTTCAGCTCAGGAGTTTGAGGCTGCAGTGAGCCATGATCCCACCACTGCACCCCAGCCCCTGCGGCAGAGGGAGGCCCTGTCTCAAAAAAAAAAAAAGAAAAAGAAAAAAGAAATCAGCAATATAATTAATAACACCAGAACACTCTCAAGAATGCACAGATGGTTCAATATTAAGAAATTCGTGTATACAGCATCCATCCCACAGACGTCTGCAAGTGCCTGCTGTGTGCCGGCCGCGCCAGAACGATGTCACTCACGTGATCCTTCTCCCTAAAACCTCCCAGGCCCGTTCACGTCGCTCCCTGGTTCTTTCTTCAGGGCACTCGTGTCCCTCTCCGTGATTCCCTCACCGTCATTTCTGCGCTTGCGTGTTGTCAGTCCTCCTTCGCTAACTGCCATTTCTCCAAGTCGGCGTCCTGGCCTGCCGTGTTCACAGCCGTCTTGCCGACGGCGGACACGGAGCTGACGGGTCCACTCAATGTCTGTGTCATGCGTGTCCAGTCCACGTTTGCATGAAGTGGATGCCCGTCTGTGACTGCACGGACAGCGGCGACTCTCCGCCCTGGCCCTGGGCTGCCTGCCGCTCCGTAGGGGACAGAGAGGGTCCGACAAGCCCTTCCACAGTCCGCTTCAAAATCCCATTTTGCCGAGTGTGTTCTTCTGTTCGAAATAACTTGCTGAGTAAAAGTGGGCATTGTTTTGCAGGAATCTTCCACAACTTCCTCTCGAGAAAAGTCTGGAAAACTGGAAGCGCCAAGCAGTACCTTCCTGTTTCCTAAAGCCTGCCACCAGAGGACACGCAGCAACTCCACCAGTGAGTGTCGTCAGCTCCCCTGCTGGGCGGGCTCCCCGTGCCCCGTCGGCTGAGACCAAGGCTCTCCTCCCCGCCTCGGTCCTGGGCAGCCCGCTCTCTCTCCCGGCCTCCCTCCCCTGTCCGTTAACACGACGGGGCCGAGGTCGAAAGACCTCGTGGTTCTTGGTTGTTGCAAATGGAATATTGCTAATACAGAGTCAGGAAAATGCGAAGAATGCAGAAAGGCGTGAAGGAATTAAAATCACACCAAATTGTAACGTCAGAGATGATCTGCATTCACATTGTCAGTGGTTTCCCTTCTATGCCTACGTGCGCCAATAGAAAACTTACACACACACTATGTATTTATTTATATAGATATATATAAAACTTTGCCTCATGTCATTGGAAACTTTTGTAAGCACCGTTTCGAGTGGATACGTGGAATTTCACTGTGTGTATATGATCTAGCTGACCGACTCCCTGAACCGTTGCCGGCTTCCCACTAACCTGACCGAGGCGCTGAGTGTGTGCGTGGGGTGCGGCCTGAGTCTGCGGCGGCCTCAGAGGACCATAAAGGCAGTGGACTGGCGCAGGGTCAGCAGCTCACACGCGGGAGCCCAGGGACTTGCTCTGGACCCTGCGTCCAGAACTAAGGGTCTGCGTGACCCCGGGCCAGTCTCTTAAAGTCCCTAAGCCTTGTATTGTTCTGCTGTAGGATCCACCATCCTTACATTAATAATTTTCTACTTTTGGATGGCTCTTTTTATCATAAATTTTTACTTTTTTTCCTTTAGTATAATTTCCTACAAATGGAGTTTTGGGTCAAAAGATGGGTATAGTTTAAGGCTTTCGACCCGTACTGCCCAATTTCGGTAGCGGACATTCCTTCAACAATGTATGTGGATACCTGTTTCTTCAGTCATGGCCCACATCGAATGATAATTTTATTTTCGAGACAGGGTCTCTGTTGCCCAGGCTGGAGTGCAGTAGTATAATAATAGCTCACAGCAGCCTCATCTCCTGGCCTCAAGGGATCCTCCCACCTCAGCCTCCCCAGTAGCTGTGACTACAGGCACCACCATACCTGGCTTATTTTTAAATTTTTTTGTAGAGAGGGAATCTTGCTATGTTGTCCAGGCTGATCTTGAACTCCTGAGCTCAAGCAGTCCTCCCATCTTGGCCTCCCAAAGTGTGGGAATTACAGGTGTGAGCCACTGCGCCCCTGAATTATAATTAAAAACTAGTATTTGCTACATATGTTGTTTTCTAGTCCCTCTTCCCTCACCCACTCCCTGCTTCTTCCTGCCTGGCCTTGCACCCAAGACCAGCTGTACGATTTGCAGGGCTCAGGGTAACATGAAAATGGGAGACCTCGTTTCAAAATGGTGATGGCAGGGCACGAAGCCAAGCGGGGATTCTTCTGGTCCCAGGGCCTTGGGTGGCTGCACTGGGCGCATGCCCCCGAGCCAGCCTGGCTGGCACCCTGGAAGCTGGTCCCTGCAGACAGTGTCCCCAAGGCGCTCTGGCCCTCTGGTTTCCGGTTGGGTTCAGCCAATGAGATGAATCAACAAAAGACTGGCGGGGAAGAGAGCGGCCTGCGGAGGTTTCTACCCTCTGCCTCCTGCCCCTGCCTCCACGCGGCCGGTTCTCTGTGGCCAGAACTCGCGTCTGGGCAGCCGCCTGCCACGTCCCAGCGCTCACCGGGCGCCCTTCCCCACAGGCCTGGGGTGACAGCAGCTTCCCGACTGCCCGCCATCCCCTGTAAAGACCCCTCCATTCAATCCTCAGAGCCCCAGCTGAGCTCACCTTTCGTTTCTGCCCAAACCCTGCCCGACCCACTGATAAAACAGACGGAGCCCAGCACCTCCCCACGCCGTGAAATCCCGTGTTCCTCCGGTTATTTAGTTTTTGGAGAGCTCGTCCACTTTTCTATTGGGACGGCCATTGTCTTATTAATGTATGAAAAGCCTCTTAGTTAAATTAATGTTTGACTGTCAGGTTTGCTGAAAATACTTTCTCCAATTTGTTGTTTTTAATTTGTTTTTTACATGAAGGTTTTTTAGTCCTTACATAATCAAATGTGTTGATCTTTTCCTTTGTGAAAGTTTGTTCCACAATCAGAGAACTATTAACTATGTGGCTACATTTTCTTCTAATTTGTAAACGATTTGGTTTTTTTTATTTTTGTTCCCCAAACTTAGTATATCTGTAATTTGGTGTTTGATATGAAGTAAGAATCTAGATAGATTTTTTTTTCCTAAATGACTGGAGAATGATTCCAGGATGACTTATTTATGATCAGTTCCTACCCATCCTTTCATTTTATCTTTTTTGTTTATTTTATTTATCTCTTGCCGATGATACGCAGTTACATCCTTGAAAGGAAACCTTTTTAAGCTCAAGCCATTGACATTAGTGATACAGGTAATACTCGCTTTTACTTACCTCTTTTTACACTTTTTATTTCAATGGTCACTTTCCGTGGATTTGTTTTCTGCCTCTTGCTACAGTGATTTGAAAGATTTATTCAATTTTTATTTCTATTTCTGGTTTCCTTCACGTTTGAATTAATTAATCAAGTAAATGTAATTAATCAATTAATACGTGAGACATTTCCCAAATTGCCCCCGTATGAAAGACGAGCCCTGTGGTTTCCCGAGATCCCAGCACCCCGTCCGACGTGGGGGAGACGCACGGCGACTGTCGTCAGGTTGGACCGAGGCACCATGGGGCGAGGGGCCCGTGCGCGCTGCGGCGCAGAAAGCGCGCGTGGAGACGGTGAAGATGCCGCCCGCGCCTCCCAGGGCGCCAAGTTGTTTGTGTTCACCGTGGCCCTGGCTGGTGAGGGGCGGCCGGTGGGCAGGGGCTGATGCTGTTCTCACTGAGCTTTGTGTTTCTCGAGCACGAATAATTCTTGCTGTTTCTCCTCTCCCGGTTTAGGTGTTAACCCCTACTGCACAGGAGAAACTGACTTTCCAACGACCCAGACGTCTGCGGCTTCCGCGGACAGGCAGCCGTACTCGCTCTGCAGCAGCAGGAAGTCGCTCTCCCAGCAACTGGACTGCCCGGCGGGGAAGACTTCGGTAAGAGCAGCAGGAGGGGGCTGGGCGGCGGGGCGAAGGAGGGTCTGCTGTGAGCCCTGCCTGAGGACGTCTTGCTACTAGGCTGTGTCCACGGAACTGCAGAGGACGGGGCTTGCTCAGTGTGCGCGGCCGTCTCTAGGCAAAGAGCCACCTTGGGCTGTCATGGGTTGAGGCCCCTCGCGCCAGGCTCTTGCGGCTGCTGCCTCGTCTATGCTTCCAGGAGCCAACGTGCAGCAAACACCCCCAGGTGGAGACGCGAGCTGTGGCTTCATGTGGAAGCTGTGTTTCCTCTGCGCACAACTCCAGGGGCTGCAGGAGGAGCTGGGGCTTGGCCGGTGAAGGAGCGTGTGCACATTCTCGCTAGTGAGGACACAGGTCTGGGACTCGCAGCCAGACCGTTATGCCTCCGAAGCCTGTGCTTTTAACCCCTGTGATACGGGGACTTGTTTTTACTGACTGTCTCTAATTCTTAAAACAAGCTTAGAAAGAAATGTATCGTTAGCCTCATTTTACCGTAGGACACGGAGCCTTGGCAAGGTAAGTAGCTGTCTGAGTTCATGCGTCTTAAAACCTAAGGGACCGGGGTTTGAACCGAGCCCTGTGTCATTCCCGAAGTCCATGACCTTCCCACCATGGGGCGTGAGCTTGCAGAGGGGAGCTGAGCAGGCACGAAGCCCGGTGTCCCCACACAGTCCCCCAGCCTGTCTGTGGTGTCCCCTCCTGTCCTTTCTCCAGGCCTCAGCTAAAGCACTTTGAGTGCCTCGCGCTGCCACCCGTGATCCAGCAGCAGCCCCTGTCGGCAGCGTCTCGCTCCTTCTCCCATCTCTGTCTCTAGAAACCCTGCTGCATCCCTCAAAACCTTCCTAATGCCCCCTCCTCCTGGAAGCCTTCCTGATCCCTCCAACTGTGTGGACCTTCCACTTTCCCAAATGCCCACCAGAAGGGGCCTGTACTCCTCTCACAGTGCTCACCCACCGGGTCTCATTAGTGTCACATATCTTAGCGTCTCGTGTCCCCAGCAGATGCTCTGCGGTGGGCTCAGGGTCAAGTGATGTTCAATTCCCTGCACGGCACAGAGTAGATGCTCAGCAAATTCTGTCTCTCTCCTTCCCTTCCTTGAGTCACTGTGATTTTCATCCACAAACTGGGAGTGTTGGTGTCCCAGGGTCACAAAAAGATGTTTCCAAAGTGACTCCCCAAGCCGAGGACTCTCCTAGTCCTGGTTTTCTGCACATCTGGGGTCATAGAGGCGTCACTAGGATGGGGGTGGTGGGTGCTTCCCCAGGGAGCTGCCCCTGTCTCTGCTGCCTCATGCACTGGGACTCCAGGCCCCTGGAACGGGAGGGACCCGGCCAGCAGGGCGGGCTGTGGAGGCATCTGTGGCAGCCACCGGGAGGGCTGTGTTGAAAAGGGTCGAGCGGCCACATCTGATCAGGAAGGAGAGCTGCAGGTGACTAGCAGTGTTGTGGGGACCGGCGTAGGAAACACAGTCATTGCCTCTGCTCACCGAACCTCTCAACGTTTGGGAGGCACTTGGACACCGTGTTAGGGTGCTCCAGACAAACAGAACCAATTGTGTGTGGGTGTGTGTACACATATATACACATACACACACACACATATATGTATGCATGTATATAGAGAGAGGGGCAGAGAGAGTGATTTACTATAAGGAATTGGGGAATTGGCTCACAGGATTCCGGAGGTCCCAAGTCCCAAGATGCACAGAGTGAGTTGCCAGCCAGAGGCGGGAGAGCTGGTTCAGTTCCCATCTGCGTCCAAGGCCTGGGACCCGCGAGAGCCAGTGGCGGGCGTATCCCAGGGCACAGGCCCGCAGGAGGGCTCAGGCAGGAAGAAGGCCGGTGTCCTAGGTGGAAGGCGGGCAGGCAGGAAGGGTCTTCTTACTCAGGGACAGGCAGCTTTTTGTTCTCTTCCGCCTGGACTGACTGGCTAAGGACCACCCACGGTAGGGAGGGCAGCCTGCTTTGGCTACCGATTTAAATGTTAATCTCACTCCAAAGAACACGTTTAACTCCGGGGCCCAGTCAAGTTGACCCAGAAAATTAACCGTCAAGACGTCCACCACGGTTTCATTTTGTCTTCACGGCTGCCTCCACGGGAGGGAGAAGGCAGTTATCAGACAAGGGCTGTTTCTGCAAGACAGGGAGGGAGAGTGGGACGCACGGTGGGTGCACAGCTCTGGGGGCAGCTGAGAGATGCAGGACGTGGGTACTTCCCGGGCGCCTTCGGGGAGAGCGGCCCGCTAGGCATGGCAGCCGCAGGCCAGCAGGAGAGAGGGTGTCGGCAGGAGAGGACCTGGCTGTGCAGGGCACGCCAGCAGGAAAGCACACACGCAAGCCGTGTTCACTGCCTGCCAGGCGTGGGGCTGCGTGTTTTATGTGGCTTTCTTCAGCCGTCACCAAAGAGGTGCACAACCAAGAGAGTGCAACCCGAA